GCAGATGACAAGATAGTATACAAAGTGACTCATCGGACAACACACACACACACACACACACACACACACACACACACAAATACACCAATGAGAAAAGCCGACATGGTCCATTACAACCGAGGATGGGGATGGCGTGATGACGCTTACCGTTCGACAACAGATACACATGTTAAGCAGGCAGTGCACCAACAAGTAGTGCAGATGACGCTCCCGAACCATACGCAAAGCGAGATACTCCCCGCTGAACAGCTGAACAGAAATATGCACAATTCGATTATTCATCTGTAACGACCACTCAGTCACCATCCGGGTTCGAGCTGAGATCATCACTGTGGAAGCGATTCGGGTGTAGTGATTCAGGTAGGATTGCACAAATTCCTCCTAGGAACGGGATAAGCACAGAAAGCATAAGAGGGTGATCAGCGACCGGTAGATTTGCCAGCAAATTAACCATGAAAAATCAGACTGAGTGGTGTGAACAAAACTCCAAACGGGATAAATAAAAACACCGTATTGGATTTTGTAACCTATTTTGAAATACGAAACAGTTATAGAGAATGAGCTGTGATCCGTGGAAGATCGAACTAAAAATGAGAAAGAAGTAAGGAGAGGCAATGACGAGATACCCGAGTCATGACGGATTATGGACAGGATATGTTGAGGACCTTAGCTGTTCGACTGACAGTGTATTAATGTTCAACATCCCAAATCAAATCTTAATTAACATTTCACACTTGTCGCAGTCCAGACTTTGTGCTAAGCAAATCACGATACGGTAATCATTAAAACAATGAAAAAGTTCCAGGATTTGCTCGTGGACGTGATATCGCCAGGCTGTACAGACCAAATCAGGTGTGTACCTTCAAATAATTCACAACCACAAGCTTGGGCTGACCAAAGGCTGATTCGCAAGGCAGCGGAGCGGTGAAATTTACAATCCGGTTCATCGGATCATGCGCCTTTTGGACGAGGTCCAACATACGAGGAACCAAATACACCTCGATGTTCAATCGAGCCCGGGACCAACACCACCACCGTAAGGTTTATGAATAAGTGCGGTTTGTGTGCTTCTCTTTCGCTGGTTTGGAATCAGAGGTTTTAGCCAACTCCCCTAGATGAATTTTCAGTGGTTAAACGATCTAGTTGTAGCCTAGGACGTTGGATTTTTGTCCTCTCAGTTAGGTGGGAAGACACCGCTATTTAAGATGGTTGGTCGGATAGGAGCACAGGAGGATGAGCGGAAAAAATCACATTGGAATATGAAGTGATGAGGCGAAAAACTTAAAAAATATCGAGTGAATATACACATTGTGTTCTTTTATATATAATCGAAAATCTTCATAAGCTCTGTCAAGAATGCTCATTACCACCCACTTATTCTATTGTCAAGGTGGAAACAAGAAATCTTGGTAGACTAGGATTGCATTTCATTGAGGATCGTACCGTTTTCTACTTCAGCAGAAACACTTGCATGCAATATCGAAGTTCGAATGTGCTGAAAACAAACTATTTTTGCGATATTGTATAGCTCTCTGTAACTTTTCTCATTTACTGGGGTAAATTGATCGCTTGAAATTTGTCCGGAATGGCCGAAAAAACTGCACTCTCGATTTGGTTGGTGAAAATTGGCTTTGAGGAATCAATTGCAAGCAACTTTGTTGCAAACAACAGTCGAGACCAAGAATCGCATTTTTCAAATGGACCAAATTACAAGTCGTATGACTGTCTAATGGATTGATGCAAAGCAATTCGATGTGAATTCGAGCATTAGGGGAGTAAACCTCAACGCTACCTATATGTCCAATTTCCCTGGTCAGGGCGCTCATATCCTCACGTCAGATTTGGTTTGATCATCTCTTACTTTTTCCCATCGATTACATGCCTCGGCAAACGTTGCACACCAAGGATGCCCATCTGGTGATAATTCTTTAAAAGCAGAGGACAGCAATGTAATATTTTAAAATCTGAGACAAGATAAAGCACCTAACCCCCACACTCCTGCCCACTCGTGGAAATACAGACCACGACTAAGAAGACACGCATCAAAGAGGCTTTTCTGAAAGCACTGATGATTCAAACTGCACAACAAAAACCGGTTAATGCGGGACAAGGCTGGGATAATTTAGCGTGAAACATTCAATCCTGTACGAGTGGGCTTGGGATAGCACAAGCTTAGGGAGTACGGTTGACGACTGCTAAAAGCACGAAACTGTTGTACATGATGGCCAAGTTGTTCTTCCGGCACGTGATATTGCATGATCAATTGCATTCCGAACATTCAATCTGTTACATCTGAAATGTCTATTGGAACTTAAGCTGTTGTTTTGAGAAATGATCTGACTGAAGAAAAACAGTTTTCAGTCGGCTATCTGAGAGTAGATTGATAATCCAAAATGGTTACCAGTTGTCAGAGTCACTTCATACTCAAATGACCAATGCGAAACCAAATTTAAAACACAAAAGATTACAAATGGTTTTTGTGCCAAAAAGAAAAAAGTAGAAAAACACGCTACCAAGCAGTCTGACTGCTTATTGCTGCTTTCCAAATCGCATTCTTAACGTGAAAAAACGAAAACACCTGCACCTAACCACAACAACATGTTTATCACCTGAATAGTAAAGTTTATTTGGCATTGAACAAAAAGGGGTTCTACCAATCATTGACTGTTGTCAAACTAAACGGCTCTCTAGGTCACCGTCATCGGTGTTTTGGGTGATAGGGCTCCACGTCTGGACCTCGATATCTACACCCAACGTTGCCTATGATCAGTTACACTGCCAACGACTTGATACCACTCCTGTCCTAGTGGAGCCCTGAGTGGTTCAGTACTTCAAGTCCCAGGGTTCAAATTTCCAGTAATCAGAAATGAAAAGCAGGTAAGCGGTGAAAAACGCCGATCGAATTTTCTGTATGCATGCCGACACTATCGGATAGATATAGCTGCTATAGCAGTGACAAATTTTTAAACCCTTTTCTCGTGAAAGGATCAAGATAATATTGTAACCCGATTTCACGTTTAAGGCGTAAACTGTACGCTGAACACAGTTGCTCTGACATTCAAAGAATTCCAAAAAGCGTACCGCCTAATTAGATGCCCACTTAATGGCACAATGATGTGTACATATCCTGTGTGAAACAGCTTATCTCCAGGGTGGAAACCACTGTCACTTCTCGTACGAGAATGGAGACCTTTTCAAACGCACAAACCACTACAAAAGTGAAAAGAGAATGAGATGAAGAAGCATTTTGAAGGACAACTCTTTGTGGTAAATGTAGGACAAGAAGTAAAAGTTCCTGATTTGATTATGCGAAAGAAATGCTTTCTCCTTCATTAAGAAGCAATGTTTTATTACGGTGCGATCGAATAAGACGAGGATGACTTTCGAATCCCGGGAGACGAAATGGTGGCTCGATGAGATAGAACTCAAACGGGGATACACATATCGTCCGTACAACATCGACCCGATACCAAATCGATCCGGTACTCACGCACGTTTGATGTAGCACACAACCTGGATTAAGTATAGTAATAATAAATCAGATGTTTTCTAGATCCTATTTTGTTTATTGATTATCGAAATATATGATAAACTTTCCAGAAAGGAGCCGCAGCCATATGAAGGCTGTCTGGGGAAAACCAGAAAATGGGAAGGGGGTGGCGACGGTGGGGTTCGATCTCAAGACATCCGAGTAGCTATCTTGACGACCTTATTACTCGACCACCTCCCACTAGCTTCAAGCTAACTCTATTATGCGTTTCACAGAAAGATATATTTGCTCTAGCAAATCCGTAAAATTCTCGAAAACGGACGATGAGAACCCATTCGAGTCCAAGGTTGAAGACCTTTACAGGCACCTCATCCCTTAAGTAAGCCTAATATTAGATGGGGTACTGATATCTACTGACGGTAAGACCTGTAGCAGGAGGTGAAAATTCAAACATCGATGATGGTTAATTAATCCATAGTTTTATTTTTATGACCCATTACTGTGTGTGATGAACGACAAAAGAGGTAAACGAGGATCTACGGTTCATCTAAGGGAATCGACAACCTCAGCCGGCAGTGGTGAACCAATACTAAGGTCTAATAGTAGAGTCTTGGTATTAAGCTGAGCGACAGGGGAGTTGATCGTCCACTTTTGTCTTGAGCAGATCAGTTGGGACTGCTTGTGATAGTATCGATGCAGCAGCCATGGGCAAAAAAGCAGACCAAAACGAGCGGCAGTCGCGGGTAAACCTGATCCAGCAGGAAAATGGTCGATCGAACCTGGACACTGATGTAACGGAAGGAGACGCGATGCCGTTTCCCGGGCAGGAAATTTGTGAGCAATTGCGCTCTGTGTTTTCGGTATCAGTGGATGAAAGGAATGCGCGCAAGCACCTACTGAACGTCACAACATATTGAAGACGATTTTCCATGATAAAAACTTCATCGAACACAGTGGCATTACGACATACATGACAATGAATTGTTACGGTTCTAGCTAAGTCTAAAGCAATACATGCATATCAAACATACAAACAAAAAATACGCACAAAAATATAAGCATATGAAACAAAAAATTATGATTACTCACTTTGAACTCGTCCACAGCAAGAAGACCAATGAGGAAAGTGACCAAACTCTCAGGGAATCGCAGTTTGATTGTGCAAAATATGAATGCGTCCAGAAGTGTGTAATGGGACAGTTCCTGGTTGCGTATTATTTCTGTAAATACATGGAGGACGGGCACGTAATAACCGAAGCACCCAGCTATTTATTTAAAAAAGTACTCCCATGTTATTTTACCACAGGGTAAACCCCGCGAGGTGCACGGACAGAAAACCACTCAATCGATGCAACGGACATACGTAACTGATACAAGGAAACAAAACAAGATATAAGGGCTGTTTTCATTCGACAAATGGCATGTATAGAAAGAAGTATTTTTAATTGAAAGAAAAACATGATAAAACCAATAGAAAGGATGCATCAGGTAAACAAAAAGACTTGATGAAATCACTACCGAAACGGTAGTGATGAAGCACCACCACCACCAGCCACATCTGCCGAAAAATGCACTTAAAACAATCTTAACGTATTCAAAATTGAGCTTTTCAAGCATGCTACACGCAAGCATATCTATGCATCTGATAAGAGAATCAATGCGACCAAGTAACAGCTACCACTATTCAACTATGGTCAATCGAAACGTACCGGGCAGTGAGAATCCAGGATTCGTGGCGACACTGAGTTGATAGTCTTCGTACGCAGTTGTGCCAGAGCAATCTAAACATAAAACAAAATTAAAAGTTGTAATGTAGTGAAATTATGCAACCATCTGAAGAGTTTATACAGCAATAACCATCAAAATGTAGATTCAGTGGGATTCCGACCCACGCACAGATGCTGTCTACGCTTTTGTACAGCGCACACTCTATCACCTGAGGTATGAGGCCACACCGATAGCACACTGACCTTTTCACATTCGGATCACCCATCCAATTTACAGGGGCATATAGTATCCACCAGGTAGCATGTAACATGATACTTCAATCTACCAAA